AATAACACCACTATGAACATTAAAGTACAAATCTTTATATGTATGTGTGATTTATTTTATCTTGGATAAATAACTAAGAGTAGCATTGCTGGGTCAGATACTAAGAATATGTTTAATTTTATAAGAAAATGCCAAACTGTACCCCTTTGGAAGGTTTAGTAGTTCTGTATCCTTGCTAAAACTTAGTATTGTCAGTGTTTTTAATTTAGGAATTCTAGTGTATGTAGTGGTATCTTGTTATTTTAATTTGCACTTCTCCCATGACAAATGATGTTGAGCATTTTTGTATGCCTATTTTCTATTTGTATATCTTCTTTCAGAACTATCAATTCAAATAGTTTGCCCATTTTCAAAATCAAGTTGTTTGACTTATTATGGAATTTGAATTCTTGATGTATTCTGCAAACAAGTACTTTATGAGATATATGTTTTGCTAATATTTTCTCCAAGTAGAGTAGTAATTCTTAAGTTAAGATTCAGGCAAATATCTGACTTCAGGGGAGATAAAAGGAGATAAAATCTAGGTAGTCAAATCTAATTAGTCTCTAGCTTTAAAAAATAATAAGTAAACCTCTTCTGTGGGTTAGGAAGTATAAGGCATATCTGAGCTTGCGGTATATACAGGATGAGCCCTTTGATGTCTTTTGTATATTGAGAAGATCAAAAGCTTTTGCACAGAATAAAATGGTTTGTTCATGTTTCCAAACCATAATGGAAGAACAAGTTTGTTAGATAAATAAATTTTGCAAATAACAGGCAGTCCTTCCATAAACAAACCTGTTGCAAATTGAGCAACATTGACTTATTTAAGCTCTTATAATTCAGAGTCTCCAAATGAAAAAAAACAAACTATATATATATATATATATATATATATATATATATATATGTATTTCATACTCATATCATGCTTCACTCTTATAGCAATGTTAACACATGTGGAACTGACCAAAACAATAGGCTGTCAGTTATAGGGGCAAAAGGCAAGAATGCGCTGAAGACAGTGCCAGACTAAATTGTTTGCTTCTAATCCAGAGTTGCTTATTATAGTTGATCAATATGTAGTCAGTGGGTAAATTGGTGATGGCTGAAAATCAGGGGAGTCATCAAATATTTTTAAGTAAATGAGTGGCATGATAAAAAATTGGGAAATACAAGTAGAACTGGTTTTAGTGTGAAGCATTTGAAGTGGTAGTGAAACCAATTAAGAGGCTGTTGCCTGACTCTAGGTAAAAGATAAGAAGGGACTGAATTAGGACCAAAGAAGAGGCAAGATTTCAAAAATATCAGGAGGTATAATTGACAGGACTTGGTGATCAAACTAAATGTGGACCTGAAGAAGAAGAGTCTTAAGAAGACTGTTTTTCAATTTGGGTGGCCTATTTGGTTATACTTGTAATCAAGACAAAACATTAGGAGAAACAGGTTTTGAAGGGAATAGTGAGTTCAGTTTTGATATTTGAGTTTGAAGGGCCAAAAATACCCCACAAATGTGTGAGGCTAGTGAATAACTAGAAATATAACTTTGGGGCTTGGGTGAGTGTCTGGGCTAGAGACAGAGGATTGGACATCATCAGAGTCTAATCTATTTTAAAATGAGATAAGAAATGTCAGTCTACCCATGCAGAGTAAAAAAGAAAGGACTGCAGTCTGAATTCTAAAAAAGCAATAGTAGTTAAGAGACAAGTACTGCTTGGTGACAGGAAGGAGATGGTGTTTAGAGAGATGAGAGAATTCATAATCTTAAATGCCAAAGATGAGAAGAGTTTCAAGGAACAGTAGTGGTAGTGTCCATTGCTACAAATATGTCTTTGCTAAAAAAACCACGACAAAAAACATGCAATTTGGTGACTAAAAAATCATTGGTCAAAACTGGAAACAACCGAAATGCCCATCAGCAAGACCACAGGTAAACCAATTGTATATCTTCATACTGTGGATACTACTCAGTAGTTAATAAGGGATGATCACTACTATACTCAACAACATGGATCAACCTCAAAAACATTGTGTTGAGTGAAAAAAAAAAACAGACACACAAAAAATACATATTATATGATCCCATTTATATGATGACCAAGAAATGACAAAACCAATCTACGGATAATAGAAATCAGAAAGAGGATGCCCCTGGGGGTGGTGAGAGGGGATGTGATGGGGGGAGAATTGGTGGTAAAGGAGCACAAGAGGTCTTTCTGATGTTGAAGAAATGTTCTTTACCTTGTTTGAGGGTAGTTACAATTGCCAGAACTCATTGAGCTGAAAACTTAAGATCTATGCATAAGCAAATCCCAAGAAAAGGTAATTGGTCAAAGATAGGAGGCTGGACATCTGAATTTGCTTGCTTCTCAATCTCCACTAATTTACAGAGAGACATTCCTTTACAAAAACAAATGTCCATGCAGGGAGTTCATAACTACAACATTTTTAAAGCAGAAAAACAGAAATATGAAGTAGAGGATTTAGCGAGTCTGAGAAATGAAATTCAAGTGGCCAATGGAAGAAGTCATAATATAAATCAGTTTGCACTACTAAATCCTAAAAAGCTCAAAAGTGGGAAATGAGGCTAAAGGTGGACTAAAAAGAAGAAGGTTGTTTGAAATTCTATTTTAAAGTAGGTAGAACCCTTGATTTATTCCCCCAACCTATATTTAGGTAACCACTTCCCACCATCAGCACAAGACTAGATGTTTGCTCCCTGAAGGGGCTAAAACACAAGTTCCCTAGACTAAGGGACTCAGACATAGTTGAAGGTGGGAGACTCTTTATAAAATGGGGGCTTCAGAGACAGCCTACCTACATTCTAAATATTGAGATTACCAGGCCTCTTCTATAACTCAGCTCCAAAATATTGGAAAACATGCTTAAAGAAGTATCTGAGAAATCTGAGAATCTGAGTTCTGAGAAATCTGATCAGCACAATGATAAAAAAAAATAAAATAAATAAAAAGAATGAAAAACTCTGGCAAACTCCAACTAGAACAGGTCAGAAGGCTCTGAGAGAGACATCTCCAAGGAAATTAAATTAACAGACTATCTGATAGGTTTTAAAATGCTTAGAAATTTAGATAATTGGGGAAGTGTTTGAGTTTGAATTTAGGGCTAAGTACATAGAAAACTATGGAAACAAATAAACAAGATGTTTATTAACTCCTGGCATAATGAAAAGTTGAGAATGAAAGAAAAAGTAGTGAGAGAATGATATACATGTGAATAGCATTTACATGGATATAATAAACACCAGATATTATTTTATCAAAAAATCATGAAATTGTAATATAACAATAGTAATGAGAGGTAAGGGGTATAAATGTGGGTGGGGAGAGGTGAGGGATGGGAATAGGTAGTAAAAAAAAATAAATCCTCATCTTTAATAAAACAAAGTGAATAGATAATGACTGAAAAATCATTAATATTAAAAAATAGATAATAAACTGAAAAATCAAGAAGTAACAGCATAAACATGTCATTAGAGGTAAACGCCAAAAGAAAACAATTAAAAGAGTTGCTTCCAAAGAGAATGGTACATGGAAAAGGCTGTGAGGACTGTTGTTTGATTTTTTTAAACCATATACACTCAATAACTATGATTTTTTAAAAGTAACCAAATAAAACAAAATAGTACAGCTATTTGCAAAGCGGATATCATGAAACTAGATTACAGTCGGTTGAAGTGAATGAAAACTGGGACTATTCTCAGCAAACTGAGTAGTATAAGGAAGGAGGTCAGGGAAGTTGGTATAGTTGCCTGATGGAAAGATAAGATTAAAGGAAAATGGATAGTGTGCTTGATCATGGTTAGTTAGGTAGCTAACTTATTGGTTAGTCAATGTGTTCAAGACAGAAATGAGCTTAAAGAGAAGAAAAGCAGTGATGCAAGTTTGCTGAGGTGAGAGGGAATAAATGAGACATCAAGGTCTCTCAGATGAAGTGATGGGTATTGAAATCAAAAACTAGGTTAAAGGATTAGCTTTGAAAAAGAATAGGAACATCTTTTTAATGATAAATGAAAGGATTAGTAAATGAATGTATGTCTAATAGCTTATATTAAGCTATATTTTATCATTGGCAGTTGTGGCTAAGTCATCTGTTGAGGAACTGATCTCTTTTTCATGATCTGAGATTGGGAGCCAACCTGTGAAAAAAATGAAAGGAATGCTGGGTAGGAATTTTGCAAACTCAGCTGAGGACGGAAATCAAAATGTATGTATTAGTCAGCATGGGCTGCCATAACAAACCACCACAGACTGGGTGTCTTAAACAATAGATATTTATTTTCTCAGTTTTGGAGGATGGAAAGTCCAAGATCAAGGTGCCAGCATGGCTTGGTTCTTGGTAAGGACTCAATTCCTGGCTTGCAGACAGCCCCCTTCTCACTGTGTAAATTGAAACAGAGAGAGCTCTCTGGTGTCTTTTTTAAAGATGCCAATTCTATTGGATTAGGGTTCCACCCTATGACCTCATTTAACCTTAATTACTTCTTACTCTGAATATAGTCACATTGGGGGTTAAGGCTTCAACAGATGTGTTTGTGGGGTTAGAATTCAGTTCATCACATGTATAATTCAGCACTGTAATGCGAGTTATTCCATTTATACCCAACAGCCCAAGAGCAAGAGAGAAGACAGATGGTTGAGTTGATTGAAATTTGGGGACTAGCATGATAGAAGATTAAGGTGGCAAACTAATTGAGAGGCTGCTGAAAATATGGCTGAAATGATAAACCACAGTTTCCCAGAACAGTGGAAAGAGAAGCCTGGAAAGGGACAGGTTTAGATTAGGGAAGCGGGGAAGATTGGTAGGCTTCATGGCAGAGTCCTCTCAGGTCTACAGGCTGGAAAACAGGAATTCTTCTATAGTGAAGCTTCTGTGAGTGCAGTACTTTCATGGGACATAACTGGTTGTTTGGGCACTTTCAACGTCACTGACAATGAATGAGAATTAGCTAACTGGAAAGAAAATTTAGTGGTAGCAATCATCACATTTTTCTTTCTTTTTAGACGACTAAATACATTGAACAAGTGTGCCTCAATGAGACTTGATGTGAACTTTCAAAGGAAAAAGGTAGGTGTCTGCACCTGAGACCATGGCTATGCCACCAGAAGAAGCTTGCATTCATAGATTTAAAACAACATGAAACGGAGTAGAATTCTAAAAGGCCTTCCATCTGTTTGTTCTCCAAATATCCCATCTTATGATAACCATCATAAGGTTAAATAAGTCCATTATAAACCCAGGCGGAGGTCTGTTTGTTTCACCATCTCATTTTGCTTTACTTTTTATCAGAGGGTTTGCATAAAAATGTAAAATGTTGTAATTGCTTATGGTAATCTTTCAGAAGTTTGTGGATGTGTTAACATCCACTCTATCTTAGAGTCAAATATTCCATGGTAATTAAGAGATTACGAGAATGCAGAAAAGAGTCTGTGGGTCCATTCCTGCTAACATTTTGTTTCAAGTACATTTCCAGATGCATTCATTCTCAGGCAAGTTCACTTCATAATGGTTGAGGGGTTGGGGGCAGAGTGTAACAACAAGATACTGAGTCTGCCTCGTCTTTCACGCTTATCCCCCTTGCACATTGCTCTAGTCACAAGGAGTGTCGTTCAGTTTTAAGAGTCACTATACTCAATCCTCCTTCTAGAACTTCTCATGAATAAGGTTGGAGATGTCAGTTCGAAAATAAAGCTGTATTTTATTGAGCACTTACTGTGTTCCAGGAGCTGTGTTATGTACTTACCATACACGATCTCATTTAGTCCATTGAGGTAGGGATTCTCTGTTTCCTAGATAAAGAAAGTACAACTTGAATAAGTTAAATCATTTATCCATGCTCCTTTTTTTTAACTAGTGGCAGAGCAGGGTGTCAACCTCAGGCATCTCTAAATCCACAACTGAGGCTGCTCACCACCATGCTGATGCTGAAAGACCCATCTTTCTCACTGAATTGATCCTTTTAAGAAATTCACGGTTGAGTCATTACCTACTTTTTCTCGTTTCACTTCTCTAATATGTAACAAGTCAAGCCTCAGTATACTTCGAAGAAGCAGAGAAAACATCTTCGAGTCAAAAGAAAGTGTTCTTTATCCTGGTCTTCACAGAGAAATCATTAAGCCCAGTAGATTTTAAGTCACTCTTGAGTAACCTAATCTTTAAAAATAACTTTAGCCTGAATTTCTGCTCTAAAATAGCACTCCCCCCCCCCAAAAAAAAAGCAAATGAATTTTGGTTGACCTCACCTTAAAAACAATTTGGGGTTGGAACTAGCAACCAAACATTTAAGCTAAGGAGTTAAAATGGTGAAAAACAATATCCAGAGAAATATTAAAACATGAGCAATTTGTCCAGGCCAAAGACAAATTAAAAATGTGGGAATAAACGTCCCAACAGCTGTCTGGCTGAATAGAGCCCTTGAGAAGCGTGCATACTATTTGAAGCATGAGGGTCAGATCTTGTTTTGATTGTAACACATGGTTCTTATTAAACTGAACACAGCCACGCCTGTGTTTCAAAAGTGTGGCTGGTCTGTACAGCTGCCCATGCAAACCTTTAGCTTCAGTGTATTGCAAAAAGAAAAAAGAAAGAAAGAAAGAAAATGCCCAAAACTAATGACATGATTTGTTTTCAACCAAGTGGAGTGATTATATTCTTGCCCTATCACCACCTTTTTGAACCCCATATGTAAGATAGGCTTGAATAACATTTGTTAGACTATATATGTGTTGCCTTCACAAAAGCTCCTCTGTAAATTGGTCACTTCAGTATTCTGACTTTCTTAATTTATTCCTTATATTGGATAGAGAGCATACATCCTTACAGACCCGACCTAGCTGTAGACCTCGCCAGTGCATGCACTTGAATAAAATACTGCTTTTCACATGGTAAATGGGGGAGTTGCAGCCTGAGTTTTCAAATAAATAATTCCAGCATGTGGTCTCCACCCACTTGTGACTTTCAATAATGACCAGCATCTGGGGTTGTGGCCTCAGCAACTATGCAGGAGACCCTGTGTGGCGGCATGTGTTCCCGTCATTGGCCCCTGACATGAGTCATAGGCCACTTCTTCATTTTACTGGGAAAAAACAAACAAACAAACAAAAAAAAATATATATATATACATATACACACACATACACACATATATTTTATATATATATAATATATAATATATGTAATATATATAATAAAGTAAATACAGACTAGGAATAAGCCAAATGATCAAAAATAGGAAGTGAAACTTGAGAACCAGGCCCCATGTGGAGCTTCAATGCACTTTGGAATTAGTTTATTTAGAAGAAAACTAAGACAGCAGCATTTCCTCTAGCTATGTCCCTAATTTAAGCAATCCAAAAAATAAAGATATAAATCTCATCTCTAATCTGCGGAGGCCCTGACATGCTTAATTCTGCTGAACAGCACCCCCAAATGGCCTGTCTGGGGCCACAGTAATTCTCCCCTTGGGGCTACTGGGCCTATGAAAGGTCTGTGTGTGCTGGCTCCGTGGTTTGTGTGGGGAGCAAACACTCACACACTGCTTATTGTGTGCGACTCACTATTCCTCATCATAAACCCCATATCACAGATGCAGAAATTAAAGGGCAGAGAAGGTAGTAACTTGCCCAAAACCACTTAGAATTAGCAGAGGCTGGGTTTGAAACCCTCCTTGCCTTTCAAAGCTATTCAGAAACATATGGAGCCCTAGTGAGCTTCTAGGCCTGGAAGAGTTTCTCGGCAGTCCATACAGCTGTGTATTTTTATTGTTTTTAGAAGAGGGATGTTTCTTTCCATCTGTACTAAAGTCTACCACTTATTTAATATCTTCATGGAAGTTTATCTCTGGATCGCTCAAGAGTCATGGATCTTATCGCTCTGCTTTGCATTTTCTTCTCATTTAAATCTGAAGAGTTTGGTGTGTTGACCCAAGAAAGGAAAAAAAAAAGTATACAAACAGATGAGGATGACGAAGCCTTACTCATACTTAGGTAGGTGTGCACTTTCCTTGTACATCAAATGCCACCAGGAAAAATGAAATCGAACCTGCCCTCCCACGAGACAGGACCACAAGATTTTCTCATGGAAGAAGAAAAAAGTGGTCTTTTAAAGATTCAAGATTACCTTCCTGTCTCTGGGAGCCTTAGGTGGAGAGAGTGTTCTTAATCTTGGCCATGAAGCTCACTGAAAGACTTAACCCAGCCAAGAATCGTTTCCGGAGAGCCTGAGAACACCAGCCATCCCCTGCCTCAGTCTTCAGGCTCCTCCCCCTGCAACATTGCAAATGGCATATTTGTGCTTCTGAACAGGCCAACACAGCCACTCAGCTCCAGTTAACTTAGTGGAAGATAACGTCTAAACTTCTGTGTAACTATGGATTAGCTGCCTCTTGCAGCTATGGACGTATGTGGACTACTGTTTCCAATGTAAAGATATGGCCAAATTCTGTTTAAACAAAGACAACAAGCTTTCTTTTGCAGTTGATAGTTGTCTCTGAGGAATATATAGTTTCAGCTAAGAATGTTCTCATTTTTTAGAAAAGCCAAACATTGGCCCTTCATCTAAATGAAAAACAAGGCCCAAGAAACAATAAAGTGTTTCTTCTGTATTATCATCCACAAAAATCTCCCCTTGCTTTATGACAATACTGACATCCCCTAGTTATGGTTAGTGTTTATGTGATGTGATTTTTATTCAAAGTTAGAGTCAGAGACTGAAGACTCCAGTGGGCTGTCTGTTCAATGAAGAAAGAGAAGCACACACGCGCACACAGGACGCCCCTCCTAAGATTTCCCACGAGAGAAAGAGCGGCTTCTAAAGAAGGTTCTGGTTAAAGTTATCATTTTCATAAAGCTCTCTGACATCATAACAAAGATGGACAGCAACACAGAAGCCATGAATAATTGTCACCTTGCAACATCTCCTGGCCTGGATACCATCAGCATTTCCATGGAGCTACAGTTGTCCAGGGCCTGGTCTCCAGCACCCCCGCACCACCACCACCATGCTGCCTTTTATATCCCTGCATCTCCCACCAAATAAGGTACTTCCTGGCAGCTCCCAACAGCAGTCAAATGAGAGAAAAATTACATTTTATTTCACCACTCACGTGACTGGAGAGTATTACAGTCTTGAAGTGAAGGTAATTGCATGTGAATGTCCTAGAACCATAGGATGTTTGAGCCAGAAAGAACCTTCCATCATCTTTTCCAGCCTCCCATCCACGACAGGATTTACTTCTTAGCACATCCCTCACGGTTCACTCAGCCTTTACTCATGAGCGTCTAGACGTGATGAGTTCACTACATTGCAAGGCAGTTTGTTTTATTCTAATTACTCAAAGTCTAATAAGCTAAAAGCTGATTCAGTGTACACTTGCCCATCTGATTCCAGCTCTTTTCTCTGGAGAAGCACAGATTATGTATGGATTTCCCCTTTTATACAGCAACCTTTTATACAGGTCTGTCCTCTAGGCATGGAGGAGGGCGGGTCAGCTAACTACTGCTCCTGTTTTTGTAAAGGAAGTTGTATTGGAATGAAGTCACACCCATTCTTTTGGCTACAGCAGCAGATTGAGTTGTTGTGACAGAGACTACATGGCCTGTAAACCTAAAATATTTACTATCTGACACTTTCCAGAAGTTCTCTTACCTCTGCTCTATCTAGAACAAAAGTTTCTCAAACTGCCTGTGGTGAATTTGAGAAACTAAAACTGACTATTGGTTTTGTTTTGTTTTTAATTTCCAGTGTGCCACTGCCCAAGATACTTTTGTAAAATGCAATACAAGTGAATTATTAGAATTCTGAAATGAAAAGAGTTATAGAAAATACAAGACTAAATGTTTTATTATTAGACTCAACAGACACAAAATTGCATTGCAATAAATATAATCAAAACAAATATAATGGGAAATTGAAAAGAATTGCAAAATTCATATTTTTATTGAAAGTGTACACATACGCAATTAATGTGAAGAATCACAAGTGCACCCATAATTTTTTTGTTGTTCAGCTGTCATAACTAACAAAAAGTTTACTTTGAAATAACAATTCCCCATATTAAGTGCCTATAC